GAAAGCAGGGGTTTCTGCTACCAGAATAGTATGGAGATTTCTTTAAAAAAATAATACAAGGCTCAGATTTTGAAGCATAACATGCAGAAATTAAAGAACAAATTAATGCCTATACAACTGTGTTCATAGCAATACGATTATATATGGCATATGAGGTTTACCACATCAAATGTGTTAGGTGGGAATAGATTTAGCTTCCTGTAAAACTGTGTCTTTGAAGTGAGAAAATTTTTTTTCCCTCAATTATGAAATGTTTCAGATGATTCAGCCATTTATTTTGCGAAGATCAAAAAGAGACGTTGAAAAGCAGCTAACAAAGAAATACGAACATGTGCTGAAGTGTCGTCTTTCTAGTCGACAAAAAGCTATGTATGAAGATGTCATATTACAACCAGGGTAAGGAATTAAAACAGTAAATAAAAAAGGCTGTCATTTTTGGTGCTTAAGCAAAATGATAAATGATTGTCATGGGTGGAGGTGTTTTAGGTTTTTTTCTGAATTTTTCCATTAGGACCAGGGAATGGAATGTAATTATATTGTGAACTAAAATTATGGGCAAGTGATGCTATGGGCCTAATGAAAAACATGCATTTACTTCTGGAACCTAAAAATCAAGTTGTAATGGTCAGGTTTGCTGCTATTTTGTTTTAAGATTTGTCTCTAATGAGTGGTTCTTTATTTCTTAAAGCCAGAAGTGTTTCTCCTTCCACCCACCCATTTACCTGTGCTGTGATATCAAGTGGTATCGATAGGTGCCGGGATAAAACAGAAACAAAGCAGGTAGAGGATAGGGAGCTGGTTAGGTTGTAGCTGACTGTAAAGTAGCACTGGTTAAGTTACATTTGGCACAGTGCTGCTTAGAAAGACCTAGGTAAAATCTAAACTTGTTTTAAGACTTTTGCATAACATACTCCAGTGCACATTCTCACCTTGCTGATTTAGGGACATCTCCATAAAAGCTGTACTGAAATTGATGTATTTCTGTATAAATTATTCGGTAGAACCCAAGAAGCCCTCAAAAGCGGACACTTCATCAGTGTCCTGCATGTCCTGATGCAGCTGCAACGGATTTGTAATCACCCTGATCTGATAAACCCCCGGCTTTCAAGTACCTCTTATGTATCAGAAACACTGGAATACAGAACTGCGTCTCTGGTACTGAGTGCCCTAGAAAGGGACATTTGGAAGGTGAGTAGAAAAGTAAACTTTTTTTCTCTCTTAGTGCCCTTGTAGAATTTCAGTACTTCATATTGTTTTCTTACACATCGTAAGTCTACCTGAAGTTTGTAAGTAGAAGGAATTCGCTATTCCATAGCTGTGCCTACCACGCGCGTACTTGCCACATCTCTTTTTGTAGTAGTAGTTTGAGCTTTTCAAGTGGTTTGTAATCAGTAATTTTTCATTAATTGGCCAAAGAGAAATTAGCTTTGCTTTCATCATACTCATGTTTGGAGGAATCTTCCGACACTGAAAACACTCTGGGTAGCACAGTGCTTATTTACGGCATTCTGTAATTTTCTTCTGCTTTCAGTAGCTGAAGGAGAGCAAGACTTACTCTTTTTCACATAAGAGTAAACACTCTGATTCAATGACTAAATTAGTACACTTCTGTCAATCCATTTGAAGTACCACTATTTGTGTTATCATTAAAGAAGTGATCCACCTTTTTGAGATAATCAAAGGAAATAATTGCATTAGAGAGAAGTATAGGTAATGGAGCCGATGAGGTAATCTTTTTGGATGATCTTATTTCCGTCCTTCGTATTTTTCTACTTCTAAATTATATGTGTGCCTTTATAGTTTGGTGTTTGAGCTCGATAGTTAACGAACACCGTCTAAGAGTTCTACTTAATTATTTGGAAATTATGGTATATGAATATGGTATATTGTTAAATTGCTTTGATTTCCATAACTGGCTAATGGTTTGATTTCTTTTTCTACCGATGCTGATGCTTAAAATTAAAATGGTACTGTCAGCTTAAGATATATTTCCAAGATTCCTAGACAGTTTTGGCTAATAATTAATAGCTCACTTTTTAAACTTACAGCATTTATTTCAAATTAAAAAGTAAAATATAGGAAGTGAATCCAGCATAGAACATAGAGAGGACTTAACTGTTCGGGTTATTACATAATCCTTATTTTACAATGTCCCTAGGAATCAGACCTGTCTCTTTTTGATCTCATTGGAATGGAAAACAAAATGACTCATTATGAAGCACAAATGTTGCCAAAACAAAAGGTTACTAGAAAGTTGATTGAAGAAATCTACAGCTCCCCTCCACCACCGGCTAGGCCCAACCCAGTGAAGCTCAAACCAAGCAGGTGTGTACAACTGCCCTCCTTTTAAGCTAGAATTACTGGAGGAAAATGGAGTTCTGTCGCTATGTTTACAGAGTTCTGTCTGTGTTTCTGGTAATGGATTCACACAAAACCTCAGACTTGACTTTGCATTTTATTATTCTGTTGCTTTCTTGTTTACCCTTGAAAATAGGGATTCTATTTTAATAGTTTTTTGAGGCATACAATTCTGTTTGAAGCTTGTTTATGGATTTCCTATAGTTTTTACTTCACGAGCAGTTGAATTTTATTCTTGGGGTCCTTGTTTATGGCAAGGGAGTGTTGTTTTGCAAAATTAGCATGGAAGTAATTCTTCAAGACTAAGCTGGGCCTACAGTGTTAGCTGTGCTTGCAGTGTTATAGGAGAAGAACGAAGTTTTGTAGCAGTAGATTTTTTAAGAGTATTTCTCTCCTAGTGAAGTAGTGATCTCAAAGTAATGTGGAACTATTTTTCTGATGCAAAGGAGCTGCCTGATGACCTGCTGGCATGTTGATGTCTCTCTGGAAATTATATGAGAGCCCATTCTTTTTCCAGATACCGGGCTGTTTAAGCTGTTCGCTGTAATTCTGATGCATCCTGCATTAAATAGGATGCATGGCAGTGAAAGTTGTCTTCTTTCTCAGACTTAGCGAAATGACTTTATAGAATGTCCACACGTGAAGTTTGCTGAAGTGATGAGTCTTGGCAGCTTCAGTCACCTGCGAGAAAGACATTAACATCTGATGTGATCAGTTTATACTTTCCTCAGGTGGTAGAGTTTATTTTTAAAGGCCAAACTGTGATCTTCCTATAGACTTTGACTTTTCCTATTCTTTTCAGGTTGTTTCAACCCGTTCAGTATGGTCAGAAGCCTGAGGGCAGGACTGTAGTTTTCCCAAGCACTCAAGTACAACGCACGGTGACCACAGCGACAGTAACTCAACAGGGGCAAGTACGAGGAAGATCACCCATAGCTACAGTGTCTTCAAATCAAGGTAAGAGAGTTAGCGCTGGGTTGGTTACCTTGAACCTCTGCATAGACGATACAAGTTAGTCTGTTAATGGAACTCCTTTTCCCTCTAGCTTAATGGTCTAGAATACTAATGGCTTAAAAATACCAACAGACTAATTGCCAGTAAATTTCCCTACTAGTTTCTACAGTACGATCTGCCAGTATAATGCAAAACTAAGCTTTGTGTAACCTAATTGTTAGCGTATGGAGTAAATATGGCACAGTTGGTATTTAAACCCTGATCACGTGTAATGTTCTGTCAAAAATGGGAATTTACAGTGCTTTTGTGTATTTATTTAACCTTTAAACAATGCTTTCCAAATATGTAATGTTGTAAAAATAGGATGGAGTAGTAGGTGTGGATAGAAATCCCAGTCTGTAAGGACAAGCCGTTCCTGCAGCCATTTTAATATCCTGTTGGAAGGTTTCTTTTTAATGCAGGTTGTTTAAAAGAGTGGAGTTAAAACCTCTAACAGCTTGCACAAACAACCCTTATTGATTGCAGCCGCAGCAGCACAGTTTCAGACAACTCAGGCTTCCACCAGTGCTCCACGACACCAGCCCGCAGCGACCTTCACCACAGCAACTAGCACAGCCAACCCTGTGAAACCGCGGGGCCAGACCTCTGCGCAGGCCTCTCAGCTAGGCCAGGCCCAGCCACAGGCCCCCTCGCACACCATCCAACAGAGTGTGCTGCCTCAGAGGCTGGTACTGACCTCTCAGGCCCAGGCACGGTTGCCTAGTAAGTGGCCTCCCCTTTCAAGGTTTCTCCCACCTTTGTACTACAATGAGGTTAAGTTACTAGGCACCCTAAAATGTGTACAGAATCGTTGTTTTTTTTTCACTCTTCTGATTAGCCTTGCTCAGTATGTTGCTTATGACCAAGGAAAATCGAAAATTGGATAAGAAACAATAGAATTGCTGTGGACATACATTAGTGGTGTCAACTTAATCTCCTATTTCTGCATGTTTCTTCTGCTGGCAAGACTTCCTTCAGACCAAATGTTTTAGCTCTGTCCTAATTATTCCTTTCATATTAAACACTAATCCATCTGCTAAAGGCCTCTCACGGAGAGGAGCGTCGCAACTGTTAGGCAGAGAAAAGCGATGAGGCTTTGCTTTAAGGTTGTATGTGCACTGCCTATTAGCATGTGTATAGAGTACTGAGCACTGATGTATTAATTTTATCTCTGGGGTAATGCACTGCCTTTACAAAAGCTAAACTTTCACGCCAATATTTTTTCAGTGTCATAAAACTTAATGCTTAAATGCCTCTAACCTTTCTGCATTTAAATCACAAAAAGCTTGGTCCTTGTCATTTTAAAGCTTTTTGGTCTGTCTAAGTGCAGATCGCTTAATATAAATCATGTTTTATCAGCAAATTTCAGGCCATTTCAAATGTGTATTTACAGTGCCACATGTGTGAATATTTTTGTCTCTTCCTCCAACCTTCGTTCGTGCTCTTGAAAAGGCAGTGAAAATCACTTTAATGTCTATATTCGTTCTGTTACAAAGTGTCACATGAGTTTTCAGGTAGCTCTTAACTTTTTTGCTAATGAAAGTGGTAACTTCTAAAATGTTGATGTTCTTACCCTTTAAACAATCAGCTTTTTTCCAGTTTGTCCAACAAATATAGAAAGCAATACCTGCTTAACTTTTATATGACACTTTTGATGCACTAAGTATAATTATGCATGGAAGGCGCTTCAGCACCAGTTTACTAACCAAAACTTAGAACTGTGAATATTGAAAACCCGCCTCCCGCTTTGGTTTTCTTTAATGCCTGTTTCCCTCCTTAACAGGTGGTGAGGTAGTAAAAATAGCCCAGCTGGCTTCTATAGCAGGAGCACAAGGCAGAATTGCTCAGCCAGAGACCCCTGTAACACTGCAGTTCCAAGGGAACAAGTTCACTTTATCACATAGTCAACTTCGCCAGCTCACTGCAGGGCAACCCTTGCAGTTACAAGGTACTTACTTCAAAACAGGGAGTTTTCCATTATTTAGAATGCTCATTTTCTGATATGGGCAGCATGTTCCTTGTTGCTATGTGTTAAGGAGGTTTTTCCATCCCTATTGCTTGTACTGTTCTCTCTACCTGTTTTCTGTCTGTGTGAGACAGGGATAACAAGGTAGCTCTGTTTTGAAAAATAAATGCCTATCAAATGAAAGGCATGGTTACTTTCTTTTTCTGTGTTGTATTCCAACAACATAGAAGATTTTATTATTGAATTCTTTTTCACATGGATGGAATACAGCTAAAGTAAGATGAGGCATTATTTCAGATAAACTCCCTGATGAGCAGAAACAGACAAAACTGAAGCAGACAAAACTGAGGACCTTCTTGGTTTGTTCTGAAATGGTGTAAATAATACTTCAAGATTGGTGTGCCTCTGAATTTTGACCTGACTATTACCCTGACCTGAATGCTATGATATATTTTGCCCTCAAATTTCCCTTGCTGGTGGTATGTGTGTTGCCAAATTCAGGAGAACCTGAAAATCTTGATTCTCTGTGGCCAACAAAATAAATAGAGGGAACGCTAAGTGAGGATTTTTTGGTTGATTGGATTTCATCCGAATTCCATATAAAATACCTAGATTTAAAATGATACCCTGACAACGTGGATCTCGTCTTTAGCTATGAAGTCTTAAGTGGTTTCCTCCTATTGGATATTATGGAACTTTAAATCAGATTGGTGTAATGAACTTGTCTGGGAAAATTTAACATAGTTTGAAACAGTAATGATCAGTTTGTAACAGTAGTATCTTTTGCTAGAGAACAGTATTTATTCTTTTCCGCTCTATGCAGTCTAATTTTTTAAAAATCTTCCATTGCAGGAAGTGTTCTTCAGATTGTTTCAGCACCCGGTCAGCAGTATTTGAGACCTCAAGGTCCAGTTGTCATGCAGACGGTTTCCCAAGCGGGAACTGTTCAGAATGCTCTGAACGCTTTAGGAAACCAGCATCAAGCAGGTGTCCCAACTTCCACAGCAGTGACACAGCAAGGTAGGTTTTCTAGCCTGAAGAGATGTCTCTATCTAAACATTCAATTACTAAAATCACATTGATACATAACTCCCGAATTGTTATAGATCGTAATTCTGTAAATTGAGTTCAGAAGCAGGTAAAGTGTGAGGCAAATCCTTCTGATGTGTACTGGAATTTTAGATAGTTTTTTAGTACAAACTTGAGAGAGCTTGAAACTGTATTAAATATATTGAAATTTTTTTACCAGTTGTGTCTTAGCTCAGATTTTTGTGGGAAGAAGTGAGTTTGAAATACTTTGTTACTTTTTTCAAAGACAGATTAGGGTGATTATTTTTTATACTGACAGAGAACGTCCAGCAGTTCCACATTGATTTTGCTTTTATCTAATTTTCTTTGCTTCTCTATCTAATCAAGGCTACCATTTTCCCTTTCCCTCTGCAAATACTGCTTATAAGTGTTTGGTGCCTTGCTGCAAATGCGATCAGTTACTTGCTTAAAAACACAATCAAGATGTTGATCAAAAAACAATAGAGAAATTGCTGTCTACGACTCAATTACAACAAAACAGCAGTTTGTTAAATGATGATAAATGCAATGCTAGGAGTTCATTGCCTGGAAATGGCCATCTGCTGTAATTTTCTCTGGATATAAAACATTCCCTCAAAACAGACTGTTTACTGCTCCTTTTTGATGTATTAATGTGCCCTTGAAGTTCATATTTTGACTTTCTGAAGAGTATACATTTTTACCTCCCAGTTCCTTGGAGGTAAAGGATTTCTGTCATAAGTTTGGAAGATCTGTGGCTCAAATGTTTCACTCTCCAGCTCTGATTACATTACAGGTACTCCTAATATGGCCACAGTTCAGAATGAAAATTGATGTAAGATATCTACAAAAACTCACGCATCTCACTACTCTCATGATGGTAAAAAGAGAGCTCCGTTAAAAGCAGTAATAACTAAAGTACTGTTTCCAACTGATAAAAGAAAACATTATTATTTTTGCTGTTCATCTTTGGAGGAAGATGTAAAGCATATTGGAAATACTTATTTTGACTTTCTGAATTACTTTGGGTGATTGGAAACTATAATTGCTGGGCTCACGTGTAGCTGTGTCGTAAAATTGGATTTATACTGGCTATCTGTATTAGCTTGTTTGTAATAAAAATGTGAAAAGGCAAAGCTTAAACCTCCTTGGAGTCTATTATTCTTAACAGGCAGGTGCTAGCCCTTTCATTAACTTGAATGCAATTCTTCATGGGTGTATTGACTCGCCGCTAAATACAGTTTCGGAGTGACTAGTGGTGGGTTGTGCTGCTTTTCTAGTACAAACAATCAGTGCTGATGAGCAATGCGTTTTGGCTGAGATAGAAACCTCTATGTCCTATCAAGAAAATAACTGCTACACAGTGTCTGTAGTCTGCTAGTACACGAGGGGTATTGCTGTAGTTTCGATCAGTTTACTTGTGTGGAATGTTCTTACACTTTAGTTAGCTGTATGGGAAAACATCTGCTAGCAGTTGAATTCACAAGAATGCTACTGTGAGATTCCATCATATAGTTTCATCAATTTGTAGATACACTGAATTCATATGTTTTCTGAAAAATCTTAGATGATTTGTTTAAGATAAATTAGAGCAATCTTTTCCTGATTTAGAGTATAACTTCTAAATGTTAATACCTATTGCACTATACATGACATTTTGAATAAACTATGACTGCAGCAGGTCTTTGTGCAATGCAAAGTAAAATTCTATTGATCTATCTTGGATTTTTGTGAAAACAGTTGGTGTAAATATCTGTCAGATATCTGATATATAACAAAGTACAAATTTGTAATACCTAATGGACATTTAGACTGAAAATTTGTCTGCAATTATGATGTATAACAGCTATGAAATGCTGCTTATTGAAAATAACAAATGAAACCAATCTTCAGAAGAATAAATATATAAACACAAGGTTTATCCTCAGTTTGTATTCCAGGTAGAACTGCAGTTACTAATTTGTCATCTGGTGACATGGGAGCAGCATTAAAACCAGCACTTACACATGGACAACTGCAGGTACTTAATTTTTATTTTCTTATGGAAACACAACTTTTCAGGATTGATACTGTCCATGTAATAGTTGGAAGCTATAATTTACAAAACTGGAATTCATTAGGAACTTTGATGATTACAGATTAGGTAAAAAAAAAAAAGCAACTTTTGTCAGGTTGACAGATCTGATGCATTTTCATCTATAATCCATAGTTTAAAATAAATTCTGGTGTATAAAAGCAGCTAATGGCTTTCTTGTGCTGTGACAGCAGACAGGTTCTTATAACTAATATATCGTAATTATGTAGTAATGCATAAATAAAGGAATCATAAGATTTTCTATGTGTTTTGAACACAAAGGCAATTGGGCAAATTTTTATAGATTTCTAATCTTAACAAGTTTTTAGAAAAGGTACTCAAGCAACCTATAAAGCATAGGGAAACATCAAGTATGTGTTAAACTGTGCAAGAACCTGTACCTTATCAATATTAATGTGTTAATTGAAATGTCCCAAATATAAATGATTAATTTTGTTTTATTTCCAAAACTATGAAAATGTACTTTAAAAAAAGCAAGAGGATACTAAACTAAGATAGAATTGACTCCTTAATATGAATTGAACTTAGCTGTAGTCTTCAAATTTTATCTTTGTGAATGATCTAAGCAGTTGATATAATCTAGGATGTTGGTGGTATAAAGCACACAGTACTCTGATCCTGATAGCTTCATTCTAAAGAAACTCAAATTCCTAAGTGATTGTGATGAGCAGCAAATGGTTTTTTTCAACTTTTCTTGGCAAAGGAAACGTATGAAGAAAAGAACCGGCTTTTGAAGGAGCGCCTGGACAGAATATTTTCTGGCAATGAGCGCCGTTGTTCACGGGCCCCAATGTATGGCAAAGACTTGCTGAGTGTTTGTTCTTTGACTGGTGAAAGAAAGCCATCTCAGCTGTCTTCCACTGAAGACAACAGTTGGAGGTGGGCTGGCTTTGTGAACTGTTGCCTTTCTTCAAGTGCCTCTGGAGGCCCAAGTAACCCACTGCAAGTGTTCAGCAACAAGAATCTCTAAAGGATGTTGTTAATAGGTAATGTGTGACTCTGCCTTGTAAGCCTGCACCACATTTAGTTATTTCTTAAACAGTCCTTTTCAAAAAAGCTTTAAAACCTTGTTTCTGTTCATGAGCTTGTTTGGTTTAGACTGATTTATTTAGCAGTAAATGATGTGCAGTATGAACATAAAAATAACAGTCACTTCTGTTTCTTTTAGGATCTTTATTATAAGAGTTTTCAGTGCCTCATTCCTAATTTCAAGCCCAAATTCAGCTAACCATACTTCATCTGACATTCTTATGCTTTGGATTTATTTCCGAGTAGGTACCTATTGGAGCCAAGCAACAAGAGTTAAGACACAGAGATGTAGGCAGAAGCTAGTTTAGCTAAAGCTGACATATAGTGGATTGTGTGCAGAGCAATAGCTGCGGTTTTTTAGAAACATCAAATGCCATGAGAACTCCTCAAACCTTTTCGAATTGCTTTTAGTAAGTTTGGTATGGGTGTTTCTTGTGTTGGAGCTCCAGTGACTGAATAGTGGTCATAGTGCAAACACCTTACAGAAGCTGTCATCAAAGCAGACAAAACAAAACGATAAAGGGAGAGAGAGAATATTAACACTTTGAAGGTATGGAGCACTTACAAAGTCACTTTTACGAAGTGCTTAGATAATAGTGTAAGATTACATGGTTGACAGGCTGAAAATTATTGCTGCAGATGATCATTTTGTATGTAACTTTTAAAACTGGTATTCCCTTGTTTTGATGCTTTTCACAGGGCTCTCTTCGTATTGCCAGCTGCAGTTGCTGCTCCCCCATGTTTGTATGTAGCAAATCCCCCCCCTTCATATAGTCACAGATTGAAACTCCTTAAGCACAGCCTTAAGCAGAAGGCAGCTCCACACTTGCATCAGTTGCAACAGATTGCAACTCCTCACTTGCTACAGTTCCCTGACCTCCGGCTGGTGCAGTATGACTCAGGTAAAGGAGAACATTTGGTGATAATATTTCGGTAACTTCCTGTTTCACAGGAATGGAATGTCTATATAAAACGATTATTGGTTTTCTTGTTTGAAATACAGGAAAATTAGAAGCTCTTGCTGTCTTGCTTCAAAAGCTGAAATCTGAAGGGCGCCGTGTGCTGATTTTGTCACAGATGATTCTGATGTTGGACATACTGGAATTGTTCCTGAATTTCCATTTCCTCACGTTTGTGAGGATTGATGAATATGCTAACCATGAACAACGGCAGGTAAGTTTGCTCTAACGGTTGTCCACTGGCACAGCAATATGTGCTGCTCAGGCTTTTATATGCTGCAGCAGGGGAAGGAAATTTGCCTTGTTTCTTACCCATTTTGAAACACTTGACTTGTTTTTGTCTGTTTGTTTATTAGGCTATAATGAATTTGGTTTGGTATTTTATTTTGATGTATCGTTTATTTACTCCTTTCTTTTATTCTGTTTATGTAGGAGCTGATGAAAATTTTCAACAGAGACAAGCGCATTTTCTGCGCCATCCTTTCCTCTCACAGTCGTTCCACTGGAGTCAATCTTGTTGAGGCAGACACCGTTGTGTTCTATGACAATGATCTAAACCCAGTGATGGATGCAAAAGCTCAGGAATGGTGTGACAGAATTGGGAGATGTAAAGATATCCATATATACAGGTGATGATTAAGATCAATGACCACTCTTTAACATGCTTTAACGAAAGGTTAGTTCAGATAGTGCTGTTCTGTATGATCTGAAATAAAGTGGAAACAGTGCTGAAAACTTCATCTCACTTCAATAAAAAAGATGCCAGGTTCTTTCATGAAAATGTGGTATTTCTTAACCCCAAATATAGTTAATGAATCATACTTGCATGGGTTTTGTCTGTTAATTTACATGGAATTTTTTAAGTGAGGTGTTTTTTGATTTTTTTAAGTTTTTTTTTTTTTTAAATTACACTTATTGTTAAAAGAAGGCTTTAAAGTAGAGGTAGTAGTATGTGTTTTGATCTGGGCCTGTACTGGAACTAAAAAAAAAAAAAAAACACAAAACCCCACAAACCACCACATTTTAAAAGTTCAGTGTTACTGTCTAAGGGCAATTTCTCTTTTTGTTTCCGAAAGCTGTTTTGGAAATGACTTACCAGATTCTATTCTTTTCTTTTTCCTTTTTTTTTTTTTTAAGGCTTGTCAGTGGTAATTCTGTAGAAGAGAAGCTTTTGAAAAACGGCACAAAGGACTTGATCAGAGAAGTAGCTGCTCAGGGAAATGACTATTCAATGGCCTTTTTAACACAGGTAAGTTAATACTCAAAATAGGTTCAAACACCTGTGTTGCAGTGTTTAATAAATTCAAGCATCTGTGTTGGAGTGTTCAATAACAGTTTAGTAGAAATCTGTTTGGGCTAGAATTGATAGGTAAGCATATTAGATTTCATGATTGCTTGAACTTAGGTGTCAAATACTGTCTGTCTGCTTGTGTTTCGTTACTTGCATAGTGATGCACAGGCATCACCTATGTGACTTAAAGTATTCTGGTTTCTTGCACACTGCTGCAAAATTCTGCAGAGCTTGTAAGGGTGAAGGTGTCAAGAACTTCAAAAACATGAAATATAAAGTGTGGGTATTTAGTGAGATAGACTCTCAATTGCTGCTCTGAAGATGCAGAAGACAGTGGCTGCCCTGATGAAGCTAGTTCATCCCCTTTTGGCGCTCCCAGTATGGTGGTGCAGTATGAGACAGTGTGTATTTCTGACTTTCCTATATATGAACTGTTAACAGTTTATTCTACTCTGTCCTACAGAAGAAAGTTACAGAAAAGAAAACGGACAATTTTCCAGAAATAATAGATAGAGGTTTATTTTTTCTTTAGTCAGTTTATAAGGTCACTTGAACCTGAGCTAATTCAAAGTTATATAAAAACATAGAATGGTCTTGAAAGCTGAATGTACTTCTCTTTTTTTTTTTTTTCCCCCTTCTACTTTCCAAGCAAACAATTCAGGAATTGTTTGAGGTTCATTCTCCTATGGAGGATTCTGGATTTAGAGTGAAAGCAGAAGAATTTGTAGTACTTTCTCAAGAGCCATCTCCAGCAGAAAATATTTCACCTAAAGTTGCAAGACCATTCATAGAGGTAATTATTAACACATACATTAAAAATACAGCTGTGCAGCATTAGTATAAAACAACTGCCTTATCTTTTTTTATTTGGGTAAATTCTGTCAATCTCTTTTCCTGGTAGCTTTATGTTGTTTTTTCATTTTCATTATAACAAAACTTCCAAAAGCCCACAGTTGAGTTCTCTTCTTTCTGGGGACTTTCTCTTGCTTTAGCAGAGATTTATTCCAGAAATTTGTGTTGGATTTCAGTGAGCTTCTCATGGGGTTTCTTACCATATTTTTGAAGTCTTCATTATTTTTAAAATATGTCTTTCTGGAAGGCCCTCAACAGTATTGAACAAGAGGATGAGGAGTCAAATGATCGCATGCAAGAAATAGGACCTGAATCAAGCATTGAACCTTTAATCACAGAGCTCTGCGAGGCAAAATACAATGAAGAGCCCTCACAGCTGCAGCAGTTGGTTGCTGTTGTGGATCAGGTACCATGACTTTCCATGAATATTTGGTTAAAAAGTAAAGTTTAGTTCAAATATTTCAATTTCTTTGCAATCTGGCCTTAAAGCAACTTTGTTGTCTATGGGATTGATACTCCCATTAAATGGATGGAAAATCTCCTACTGACTTAAGATGTTAAGCCATCAGAGAAGGAGATTAGTTTTAAGGAGAGCTTTGGTACACTCTCCTTCAGTTAACATTTCTTTTATTATCCTCAATGCTAACTTTTTTTTCCCTTGATACGTTCTCTCAGCTGACTCCAATTGAGAAGTATGCTTTGAATTATTTAGAGCTCTTCCACGTTTCAGTTGATGAGAATGAGCCACGGTTGAATGAGGTAAAACAACAAATCTTTCTTTTCCATGTTGTGCTGTCACAGTATGTACAAGCAGATTTACAGTTTCAATGTCAAGTGGAAGTTTCTCCAATGACATGGAATATATTGTAGGCACTTCTGTGATCTTCTCTTGCTATACTTTATGAACACTGGAATGCCTTAGAGATAGCTTATTATTTTGGGATTCTCTGGGTTAAGCAGGTGTCAGTTCTTAATTGCTTTTTTATAAAGTGGGAATGACATTATTCAGCACAGCTCAGCAAATATTTGTTGTACTCCATTGATAGCAGGGGAAAAAATTTCATTAATTTCAATGAGCCTGCTTATTTGGGTAAAGGGGTTGTGTCCTGGTTGTCTTGATTGTTTAATGGAAATTCTGAGTTTCCTTTTTTTCGAGGGTTTAAAGACCCTCAACAGAGACCAAAAAACCTCTTCTAAATGATCGTGAAAGCATCTGTTAAGAAATTGTTATAAGATTTCTGTGTCTGAAAATGTCAAAGTTTAAGGAGTTTGTCTGTAAAAATACAAACCGATAACTTTTAATCCAGTGTCTGTTACTGCATAAAGCTTATAAGGAGTCTGAATCTCATTTAGATGGAATTGAAAACTGCAAAGAAAGCATGGGAAGTTCAGCATATGAAGGAGTTAAAGGAAAAACAGCAAAAAATGCTTTGGGAGGATGAAGAGGAACTTCTAACGTACACTCGGGAGGATGCATACAATAAAGTAATTCCTGATCAGTCTTGTTTTTCTTAATAGTGTATTTCTTAACAGTTATTCTGAGAATACCTTTTCCTTCAGGGTTCAGTTGGATCATTTGAACTGTATTCTCTTTTTGCTGTGTAGGAATATGTCTATGAAGGTCCAGATGGACAAACCGAAATAATGCCAGTAAGTAAAAGTAACACCAGGCAGCCTAAATAGGCTTTTTATTTTTTGAAACATAAAGATCAGTGGAGAGGTAATAGTGCAATAACTACAAATTTTGTTCTGTGCAGCTTTGGACTCCTCCCACTCCACCTCAGGATGACAATGATATCTACATTGATTCTGTTATGTGCCTGATGTATGATACCACCCCTATTCCAGAATCAAAGTTGCCTCCAGTGTATGTCAGGAAGGAACGTAAGCGACACAAAACAGATCCATCTGGTAAATGTTTGTTCAAAACTGTTCTGAGATTTATTGCTGAAAGTTAAAAAAATGGGGGGATTTTTCATACCTCCTACATGTCTGGTCCAGTAAAGATCAAATTTGCAGGTTTGAAGAGATGAAAATTCTTGTCTCACCGTGGTCTTGAAGCAATAGAATCACTGGAAGCCCCAGTTCTTACAGTGTGTCTTTCTATTTCGACATATAGGTGTCCTTTTAAAAGGACAACTTTAGAAAACAGTCATTCTACTATGTGAGTTAGGACAAGGCTGGTCTTACTTTATACCAGGCTCTGTTTAGTTACTGACAATGCGCTTTTAAGAGGCAGTGGGGAATACACATGTAGAAGCATTTTGCGGCTATAAGTAGGAGAAGAATCAAAGAACGGTAGTAACTGTTTACCAAGAATGCTTTTTTTTTTTTTTTGTCTTAGCTGCAGGTAGGAAGAAAAAGCAACGTCATGGAGAGACAGTTATTCCACCTCGTTCACTTTTTGATCGAGCAACTCCAGGAATGTTGAAAATGCGCCGAGAGGGCAAAGAGCAAAAGAAAAACATCTTGTTGAAACAACAAACGCAGTTTGCAAAGCCTTTGCCGACTCTTGTCAAACCAGCTGCTGAGGCTGGACAGGATAATCCAGAGTGGTTGATCAGTGAAGACTGGGCACTTCTGCAGGTCAGATGATACCTGCACTTTCTGCTGTTATTATTTATTGTATTTTTGCTTCTAATTTCAGAAATGGCCCTTTCTGCACTTTATCTCTTCAGGGTTATTTCTAATTCTTAATGGTTAGTTTGGCATTTTGCTGACATAACTCAGAACAGATTGGCTATCATTTGTGTTCCTCTAAGGATAAATGAAAGGTTAAACTACAGAATGCATGATTAAGTCCTATTTTTGTTGTAGAGACCACTTACTACTATGTTCCATATTAGTTGTGCTGGCTGAACATTGGGTAATGCCCCTAAGGTTCTCCCCACCTTTGAGAAGAGAGCAGCACTTGAATGGCAGCTCTCTGTTCCTCTTATACCAATCTCCAAGTGTTTTCTTGCACATCAGTCTGCATAATAGCATTTTATGCTTATTTATTCTCTGTGAATGTAGGTGAACCCATAGCCTGAGCCCTAAGCTATCTATATCATTGTAGTAATGGTGTGTGGACACATGCAGGTAAGGGTAGGTTTGGAAGATTGGAATGATTTGTCATCTGAAGCTTTTGTACCTTTATCTATTGTAGGCAGTGAAGCAGCTGCTGGAGCTTCCTTTAAATCTTGCTGTTGTATCGCCAGCACACACTCCCAATTGGGACCTTGTTAGTGATGTTGTTAACTCATGCAGCAGAGTCTATCGCTCACCAAAACAATGCCGAAACAGATATGAAAATGTCATTATTCCAAGGGAAGAAGGAAAGGTGAGTTTACATAGAATGATGCGTCTTTTTTTACCTTAAGTTTGTAGAGTTTTTTTTCCTTATCTCCGTAAACACTTGTTTTTTGTTAAATGTTTCAACAGTGTAAATAAATAACTTTTAAAAGATTTATAAAATTATCCTCATCAGGATTTCCACTTATTTTATGTGATTTCTTTGAAAAGAAAAAGCACCTGAACAAAATCTTCCACAAAAGATCATCTAACTTTCCTTCTTATTTTACAGCTAATGTACGAAGCTAATCCTAAAAAGAAGACAAAAAGTATTTATAAGGTGTGCATTGGTATTCTTTCAAAATCAAATCTAGACACTGTGGTATTTAGCAGCAATGGAGGTGGGCAGATAATTCATATGAGATCCATGTTGAGTGTTACTTGAGTTCTGAAACATCAATTAAAATTCCAAATTTATTTTTCCTTTCTTTGTTGATACAGTGGATTGACACCAGACTTCAGCTTTTGGATTTGTTAGATAAATTTTAAGTCATGCAAGGAGTTTGTGATTTCACTTAAACTGTAGTGGGTATTTTTCCACCTAACAACCACCATGTAACTTATCCTGATTATTATGATGGTACTTAAGATCTGTAAGAATGTACTTCATGCTAGGGTCTAAGTGGATTACAAATATATAGTGAATTTAATGCTTGAAGCGCCTTTTAGTAAATGAGGATGATAGTATGCTACAGAAACAAAAATAAATTCCATGATTATAAACAACTTCTTCCAAACCATACAGCAATTTAGTGACAGAACTGGGTAGAGAATCTAGAACTTCTGGCTGTAGTCCCATTCTCTGACTAATAAGCAGGTTTGTCCCTGACTGGCAGTTTCTACTTAGGAGAAGCCAAATGTTAGAATGGCATGGTGTGCTGGATGTTAACATAGCTTTTTTGGGAGAGCAGTGCAGTGATGGTTTTATTATATTATGTGTGCGCTATGAATAACTATAAACTAATGGGCTCTTGGTTTGGGTACTGAATTAAACTTGCAAAATCTAAACTAAAGCAAAGATTCTTTTTCAAATTAGAGTTTGCCATTTTGTATGTCCCCAAGTGCTGATGCCAGTGTGACCGTGAGAACTGCTCCTTATTTTGCTCTTTCTTTATATATTTCCCATAGAGTTTTGTGTAACAGTAAGTTATCAGTGACACGAGGCAGAAACCAGTCTGTAATAGATATGTTGGAGTACGTTTTTAAATAATCTACAAGCGCACCATGTGTTTATACATAGACAAAATGCCATGTGGGTGTGTTCGCAATTGAAAGTTGGTTTGTTTTCATTTTTTAGACTAAAAACAGTCGCCCACTTCGTACCAATCAGATCTATGCTCAAGATGAGGGTGCCACCCACACGCAACTTTATACTAATCATTTTGAGATGATGAAAATGATTGCAGGGAAAAGAAGCCCACCTATCAAACCTCTGTAAGTTTAACTGGGATCATTCAATCTCCTTGTCACCACAGATCTCCTGGAAACTGAGTTCTGAATTGCCCTTGCAACTGAGACTTATTTTACACTCTGTTTCAAACTGCTGTTTTGTTTTTCTGTTCTTGATCTCTTTCTTTGCATCCTGGCTTTCGGTCATTGGAACATCTTCATATTTCATGTCTATGGGTTACCTTTTACTCACTGCATGAATTTTTTTTGCGTGATTCGGAGCAGAAGAGCACTCAGGTTTTTTTAATCTACTTTAGAAACTACACTTTCCATTTGCCTGAACTGTAAACGTTTTGATGTCTATGCTGTTTAGTAGTACCTTGTTTTCTATGTATATTCCTGCAGTAACTTTTTGTGTATTCATTTAATAGTTACTCTGAGTCTTTCTTAAAATGTCTGTCTGTATGCAGGCTCCAGTACTGGTGGGAATATCATGAAAACTTCACCAAAACTGCTGTGTCATCCACTAAAACATGTGAAATTAAATATTGTTTTTAAGTTTTTTCTGTTTCCAGTAATACAGTTCTGCTCAATTTCAGACTTGGCATGAATCCTTTCCAGAAGAATCCAAAGCATGCGTCAGTGCTTGCAGAAAGGTGGGCGCTCTCTCTCTTAAAGGAGTTATGAATTGCATAAAAGTGCTTTTTTTCTTTTCTTTTTTTAACTTCCAGTTATTTAACAATTGTGTGCTTTGTCTTATCATTGTTTCTAGTGGAATCAGCTATGATAAGCCACTTCCTCCAATTCAAGTTGCATCCCTCCGAGCAGAACGTATTGCAAAAGAGAAAAAGGTACGGTCTCCGTCTCAGCTATACATATGACTGCAGTAATTAACAAATTAGACAACAGAGGAAGTATGAGAAAAGCTGCCTCCTGGGAGAAGTTTGGCGGTACTGTAGATGTTATGGGCAGCTGCAAATTGTTCATGAACTAGTGTTTAGATATCCAAGGTCCAAAGTGGGACCTTTCCTTGGGCCTGTATGTCACACTCATACTCATTGTTTAGAAGCATCTTTTTGGAAAAGATACTAAAAACATGCAAAAATCTTGTTTTATTCTTGACCTTTCTGTAGCCTCCTTTCTTATATTATTCAGAAAGAGATACTTGTCCTTGCTTGTTGATGGTAAATAGCTTGTTGTGCTATGCTCTAAGCCATATAACCATGTAGTTTGAAACTAGTTAGGTCATGTAACTTGGAGTCAGAGAGTTACAGTGATGGCAGATTTGTATGCTGTCTCTGCACACACATATATACTACACGCTTAGAGTTAAAGGGGTTTTGTTTGTTGTTTTGTTTTTAAAAAAATACATCCTGATTGTTACATGCACTGTTTTGAAGACTATGAAGCTCACACTTTGATTTCCTAGGCTTTGGCTGAACAGCAGAGGGCACAGCAACAGACAGGTCCGCAGCCTCAGCAGCAGCAAGCTGGCCAGCAGCAAGCTCAGCAACCAACTGTACAACAAGCACAAGCCCAACCTCAGCCGCAGGCTCAGGCACAGGTAGTTCAGCAGCCACAGGCAGTAGTGCAGACTGCAGTAACTACTGTGGCCAACACAGCAGTATTGGTAAGAAAGGGAGGGCTTGGTGCCTCTGATGTAGTAACTTCAGTTCTTCTGTGTGTACTGTATTTGCGTGTTTTATTTTCTCTGGAAAGAGAGAATTTTAGGTCAGTGTAGTGAGATAAAAATACTTATTTCTTTCTTTTTTTTTCCTGAGTAAGCTGGTATCTTCTTTTCTGTTCATTTATTAAGGCTGTGTTTGTACCATTATAGCAGTAGGTCTTGGCATACTGAAGTGAAAAAACACCATATTCTTTGCAAAGATTTTTTGCCTTTTTTAGTTTAGACTTTGATTTAATTTAATCAAAGTCTGAGCAAATACAGTCAGTGATCAGTGTTGTAGAGAGAACTTGGACAATAAAGAGAATGTAGCTGTAAGAGCTACTTTGTTAAAGTAGCTTAAAAACCAAAGGTTTATTAAACTTTGCAAGGCGAGTGGGATGTGGCATCCTACAGGACCTATGGTTGTTTTGTTGCAAATCTGTGCATAGTTTTCATGGCTTCCTTAAATCTAGAATCTGTTTTAATGAGTCTGATGACAGGTCTGGGGCTTTTGTTTTTAGAGCCAATCCAGTTTGCATACTAATGTATGCAGGCAGTGGTGATTTTATTTTGCCTGTTGAAGGGCAAGAATACTACAGCTTTTACGGAAAGAGAGAGAGGACGGGTTCTGACCCATAAGTATTGCTGTGTATCTACTGTTCAGTGATGTTCATGTGTAAGTGGTTGTCTGTGGCACACCAGAGTAATATATTGCTCTGTTCTGCTGACAAGGATGTCAAATGACCAGTATTTACCAAACATTTGGCTGGTCTCCAATTGCTCGTTAGTGTGTCAGAATCCTAATATATACATCAGTTGTGGTTGATATGTAAAATGAATGAACAACTGCAGAAGTATCTGTGCGTTTTATTGCATTTTTCTTATTTCGTCACTTCTGGAGTACAGCATTGTGTTAAACAGCATAGTAGTCTAAGAGCTGTATTCAGTTTTCTTTTATTGCGTTTCTGAACTGTTACCTCAATTGTCTTCTAACTAGGCGGGCACAATCAAAACAGCAGTTACGGGGACAAGTATACAGACTGGTAAGAAGACTTTATAATTAGGCATTGGAGATGATAGGACATTCGGATTTTCATTCTTAGAATCTCACATTTAATCCTGGCTTGCTTTCAGCTACAGTGAGTGGAAATGTCATAGTGAACACCGTTGCTGGAGTCCCTGCTGCTACCTTTCAGCCCATCAATAAACGTCTGGCTTCACCTGTTATACCTGGAACATTGGCTGTGAGTAGATCACATCACTAATTGTGTCCCTGGACTGATCTTGGTTGCATGTTTCATCAGCGTTATATGTTTTCTTCTTTAGCTTTCCGTGTTACCAGAAACTCTGCTTCTTGCAAATTTCATGTGCATCACGTGATTCTGTATCAAACCCCTCTCCTTTACCAGAATATCAGAATACACTGGAACAGTTTATCAGAAAAAAGTGCCTAATAGATACTACTGTTAAAAATAGTTCGTAGACAAGTGCTGTCATAGGCAATGTATTATGTCATTATTATCTCCAGCCTGTAACTGTTTTGTGTTTTGTTAATTGTGATCTTTATTATTATTCTAATGGTTTAAGTCTATGGAAGATAAAGCAAAAAATTGAAAGGTAGTAAAATCAAATTTCTCTAATGTAGTTGAGGGTTTGGTCATCAGCCTGTTTGAAAAAGATTTAACTAGGTGCTGATTATGAGATATATCCAAACAGGTAGATGTGTTAGAAAGATTTGGACCTTCTTTGCTTTTGCAATGCTTTTTGATGTTTGTTTCTAAAATTGTATAGTCCATTTCCATAAGGTTCCATAGCTTTATATGAGGTTTGGAAACTGTGAGAAATAATGACTTTGTTCCTTTTCAGACTTCGGGAGGCACTGCAACTGCACAAGTGGTACATACCCAGCAGCGAACTGCGGCAGCACCTGCTGCTTCCACAGAACTGGTGACCATAGCATCTACCCAGGGAGTTCGCGCAGTAACATCAGTGACAGCATCAGCAGTAGTAACTACAAACTTAACACCCGTGCAGACCCAGACAAGATCTTTGGTGACTCAAGTTACACCAGGTAATAATCATGTGTTTAGGGATTTTTTCCGAGGGTACATTAAGGGCCCCAGAATTTCTGTAGGTTGCTTGACCACCATAGCCCCACAATATTGAAAGTCTGGATTTGTTGGCAGCACAATTAAACAGTGCTATGATTTTTAACTTGCTTTATTGTTGGTGCTCAGATTACATCTTTCTCCAGTATTTCTGGATAAAGTGTTGCAGTAGAGAGCTGCTTGGCCCCTAGGCGTTAGAATTAAAAAAAGATTATTAATAATCTGCCAGTAAAATATTAGAATTGACTGTCTCGACTAAAAACCATTGTGAAGAAAGCAGCATATATTTTATTATTTACTCAGCTTTTACATCATGTTTATGCTAATGTGTTGTTATTTGTAGTTAGTCCACAAATTGTGCTGGAGCAGAAAAATATGCATTTAACAGCTTGGCTTTTCAGGTGAAATCAATGAATTAAATTGAATGTTGAAAATCTTTCTTCAGAGCATTTTGTTTTTTCTTTATTCACAGCTACACCAACAGTCCAGCTGTCTGGCAAAACAATCACCCCTGCTCACTTCCAGCTTCTGAGGCAACAGCAGCAGCAGGCTGCTCAGGTGCAGGTCCCACAGATTCAGGCTCAGGCACAAGCCCAGTCTCCAGCTCAAATAAAAACTGTAGGGAACTTGTCACAGGTGAGGAAATTCTTCTGAAGTGACATGACATGTTACTCTCGTTGTTACCGTAAGCGTCACTAGCAGTGTGTGTTGTATCCTGTTTTCTTGGGCTAGAGTGAAATGCAGCTCTTTCTTAAATTTGATCCTACTAAAATTTCACGAAGGCAGTGAGTCTTGACAGCCATTTCAAACAGTACCACTATTGCAGTAGGTCAGGATGTAAAGCACTTACAGTTACTTATTCACTGGCAACCCGTTGCGTAAAGGAGTTGCATTCTTAGCTCTTCGATCTTAACTAGTCTGGCATAGAATGTTTCTCCTTTAAAGCTCCAGATTCATCTCCATTTCATTCCTGTAGTCATGTAAAAGATTGGAAATGATGTTGCGTTTGATTTTTGCAGGAGCAGCTGATCAAGTTGCAGAAGCAGAAACTGCAGCTTCCCCAGCAGCAGGCAGCGCAGCAGACACAGCAAGGGGCACAACAGCAAACAGCACAAGTACAAGTGCAACAGCAACAGCAAACTCAACAACTCGCTGCTGTTACAGCACCTCGTCCTGGCGCAGTTCTCACAGGCACTACTGTGACAAACCTTCAAGTTGCTCGTCTTGTAAGTTGTCTTTGACTTTGCAAAGCAGTCTTAAACATCTTATTCTCTTTGCTAGTTTAAATGAACTGGATACTGGTCATTCACGCACAAAAGTGCCCATTGTACTACGTAGGCAGTACAAAAGATACAGCTGTAACGTAAATAGCTTTAAATTGCACTTACCCACTGATACCTTCTCTGAATTGTATTACTGTACAGGAGCAATTATATTTAGAAACATTTACAACTAACACTTTATAATGACCTGTTATATGCAGCGAATATTTTTTGTGCCAGTACAATAATCTTCATTCCTTACTGCTTAGACTCGTGTTCCTGCTTCCCAGCTTCAAGCACAAGGACAGATCCAGGCCCAAACTCCGCAAGCAGCACAGGTTGCTTTGGCAAAGCCTCCGGTAGTGTCTGTTCCAGCCGCTGTTGTGTCATCTGCAGGAGTCACTACACTCCCCGTTACTGTTGCAGGCATTAGTGTTGCCATTGGGCAGCCACAGAAAGCAGCAGGTATGTCAACAGACTTGCTAAAACATAATAAAATATTAAATCCCACTTTTTTAAAGGTAGGATGTTTCAAATAATGTCTTCTGTGGGACACTCACACTTCTTAAAAACTAAAGTGATAGAGGTTGCATTCCAGTTTTGTTTCTAAAATGAGGTAAGAGAATTGAGCTTATTCCATTTAATCTAGAAGTTAGCATGATTCTTTAGGCAGATGTGGTTGTTTGGGTTTTTTTTTTTTTAAATCTGTGCATGAGAGTAGGTGAGCAGATACAGTTTTAAAGACACAGTAATTTCATTGGTTTTTTTTTAATGCAAAACGGAAATAGGAAAACTTGTATTTCATAACTGTCTCCTGTACTGTGGAGAGAATTTTTCTTGTAGGAAGATGATTGTTAGAACACAAAGTTAGCTTACTCATGCCCTTAGATAACAGAATGTTTTTTTCTCCACTGTCAAAATCATATGTCTTATTCCCATTAAAATCAGTGGGTTATTAGTGCTGAAAGCTATGCAGATGTATGAGTCTATAAAAAGCACAATCTGTGTTTGCAAGCTGTGATTACTGGGACAAAGCAATAAAATGAAGACTCTTACAGTTATAATTATTTTTGTAATTTTCAGGAGGCCAGACGGTAGTTGCACAGCCACTGCATGTCCAGCAGCTTCTAAAACTCAAGCATCATCAAGCAGCACAGCAACAGAAAGCTATCCAGCCTCAGGTTGCACAGGGTCAAGCTACTGTGCAGCAAAAGGTACTTGTTTGCTCTGCCGTTGAGTTATGTAATGCTTCTGTGGTTGTAAAGCTTCAGCTCTGAATTAGGAGGGCACTCCTAGAGAGTCAGTCTGTATTTCTAGGGGTGAATCTTAAGTATATCTAGAGAGAACGGTTTCTCATGTGCCTTGTCAGGTGCTTAATAATTTTTTCAAGACGACTGTTGTTTGGTGTGATTTCTCATGCCTCAAACTGGGTTTTCTTTTTTGAGTAACAAAGATTAAGATTCTCTTTAGTCACTTCTAATACAACCAAATGTGGAAAATTCCCAAATATTTTCATTGTTTATAATATAATTTGTGTAAAATATACTTTTTCCTGAAATGTCATGTTCTTACGAGCTTTGCTGTCAATCAGCCACCAATGTGGCTTTTTGGAAGTGCATTATCGTATGAAGTGTGCGTATGTGTGCATGTGTGCAAGAGAGAACCTTTTCAGTAAATACTTTAAGTGATTCGGAATACTTGTATAAGTGCATGAAAGCTTTCTCCCAATGCTCATTTTGCTATTACTACTCCTGGGAGTATTTTGTTTCAATAATTAAATGTAATTAATCGTTTGCTACATACCTATTCTGTAAAATACCCATATATTTTGTAGTTACTGATGCTTTTTTCTCTTCTGCAGATAAATGCTCAACAGGTTACAGTCCAAACCCAACAGCAGACGTCGCAGCAACAGAAAGTAACTTACACGACACAGCCTGCCATTAAAACGCAGTTCTTAACAACTCCAATTTCCCAAACCCAGAAACCAGGTGGAACCCAGCAAGTGCAGGCCCAGATTCAGGTACAGGTAACACAGGTTTACACCTTTAAACTCTGTGATGACTGGAGAATTGTAAAGATGGCAGGTGATGTAGCATTTTAGCACCCACTCATATTAATTCTAGTCACAGATTTGTTTAAATTGACTTCGTAATAAAATTAATTGGTGCTGAATATGTGGCCTTGTAGCAGGTCAGAGGAACTAAGCCATCAGTTCACCGTTCGTCTTTCAAAGAAATACATTGTCACTTTTATTAAGCAAGGGATTCCATACTGTATTTACTAAGGAAAATTCAGCCAGAGTTCTTCCTGTTTTCTCTTGCTGCCTCCCAGCCTAATCTCTGATAGCCAAGAGTAGGTGACAGTTGTCGTCTTTTCTGCATAACTGGATCAGTCTAACCAAGGAAAAAGAAGAGGGTTAGGAATTGCAAGCCTTACTCTTTCAAAAGTATATCTAAGATTATGTGGCCCATTAGAACTTCTGTGCTTTCTTCAATTTTATATATAGTTAGGAGGAAACGAGTATGTTGCAGTTAAATTTGAAAATACGACTTTTCCTCTTCCCCATCACTGACAATGCCAAGCTGCAACTTAACATGAACAGGACTTCAGAAAGGTAGCAGTTTTGATAGGTGTGGTGTGTTGCTGCTATTAGCAATTTTTTATTTTGTCCAAATCTTTCTTTATTTCATGTCACTGAAGGTTGCAAAACTTCCTCAAGTGGTCCAGCAACAGGCTACTGTTGCCAACATTCAACAGATGGTTTCAGTTTCCCAACAGGTAGGTTTTGCGCTTGTCAGATATAGCACTAGAAACATGATCCTATTGAAAGCTCATTTATTTGGAATATGTATATTTTTCACCTTGTGTGTGGCATAGGCAGTATTTTTGAGGGATATAGCAAGTTCTCTTCTATAAAAATGAATTGTGAATATGAGTCAGCTGCTGTATATTCTCTGGTCTAAAACTTTGGTAGATGGAGCAATGTTTATTCATCACTGTAGATAAGCTGCAAAACAGATTTTAAAAAATATTTTCTAGAGCTGAAAGAACTTTTAAAAATTGGTTCTTGTGATGTATAGTCAAGATAGCAAAAATTGAACTAATGAGCGCCATCTACAAAATTTGGGATACATCATTTTGTTCTGGTTCATAAAGCTGTGCCAAGTGCTTTGTGAAAGTCAGAATGGTGTGGTATCTGGTTCTAAATGGGGTATGATAACAGATGGGCCTAGGGCAAGAGAAGGTCAAACAGTTTGGTCTCCCCTCCCCTAACTACCAGGCAGTTTATTTACACTCTTCAGAACAGTGTCATTCAGACTATTAGCAACAAGCATAACTTACACTGTTGATTGGCAGAATGATTTAACTTTGGACAGTGGATGAAGTTACTGCCTTCAGTGTACAAAAATCTGAGCCAATCAGCTCTTAATCTGTCACAGTTTACAGTGCAGTGTTTTAGTGCAGAATAAAATCTGTGACTGTTTGTCTTAAAACGATGATAAAGTGGTGTAAGCTGACTTGATAACAACCTCAGATATGAATTCTTCAAGAGCAAGGTAGGCAGCAGGGAGTAGAAACCTCATCAGTCAACACAACTTGAGTTATCCTCTGTAGTCAGTAAGAGCTCCTAGATAATTTTTTAAGGGTCATTAAAAGCTAGATTTTCAAAAGTGATTAATGTTGGCATGACTCTGGGATTGTTGAAGTCCATGGTAAAAAGACAAATAAACAACTCCCCTCCCACACACACCAGTGACATCAGTGGCAGTAGGATGAGGCCACACTAAGTATTTTTAACACTGCAGTCTTGATGTATATGTGGCATTCTTTTTACCTGCATTTGTAGTGCTTGGCAGTGGATTCCTCTTGGATCGGTCAAGAATTAACTTTCCCCTGGAGAAGCTCTTGCAGCTTCATTTGGCTTCTGCATCTGACAAAGGCAGCTGAAGCTGCTCCATTTTCATTACCTTGTCCTCTGAACAAGGAGATGTTGAATTTTTTCCTCCCTTGCTCTGGATAGAACTATGAAAATTAGATATCTGGATGAAGGTCAAACTGTTCTACCCTAAATTGGCAACAGAGACTGGCAGCTGTAGTCTGAAAGGGTAATGTCAGAGATTGGTAGGAAGCCTCAGTGGCTGTATTTATTGTCACAATACGGGTGCAGAGTGGGTATTTTCCCTTCTTTGATCCTCCATTATCCCTCTGTTCTTTTCCCTTCTGTAGTATAGGAATTCTCCTGTTTATCTAGTGGGGTTTTTTTTACCTTCCATCTATTTTCTGTAAAGGATCTGGGGGAATATCCTTTGATTTGCATTGCAGAGGTTTGAGTTCCAGGCATCTTGGCTCTTAGTTCTGATTTATAAGGCTCTAGAAAATGTGACAGAACGTTGTTTCTCACTGAAACCACAGAGCCTATGTTCCCAGAATCCTTCCCAGCCTTCCTACTTTGCCCAAGATGCTTGTCAGTCGAGAACAAAAGCCTATATAAGTAACATGCCTTCTGTAGAGTGGAAATTTAATGAATGCTCAGTTTAGTGCCAAACTATTCTTTTGTAATTGGCTTGTCATCCTAATGCCTAGGTACAAGCTCAACCCCAAACTGTGACACTTTCTCAGACGACAGCAGGTCAACAGCAGGTTCAGGTGATTCCTGCAACAACTGCTACTGCTCAGGTCGTCCAGCAGAAACTGATACAACAGCAAGTCGTGACAACAGCATCTCCCCAGATTCAGGCTCCAGGTGTACAGAATCCAGCCCAGACACCAGCAACATCTGAAGCCCAGAATCAGCAAGCAAAAGTACAAATGAGGACGCCTACTGTCAGATTAAAGGCACCTACTAAACCAAGTTGAACTAATGATTAAAATGCAATAACAGGGAAACACAGCATTTCTTGTTTGCTAAGCCAAGTGAGAAGCTACTCCAGACATCCAAATGAAGACAAACAACCTCTATTTTTTTTTAGCAGAAGCTTTTTTGCTGGTGAACATTTAAACATGGAAACTCTCACGTAACTTCAGTGTATTAGCAACTGTTTAGCGCTCAAAATCTGTACAAGATGCATTCTGCCAGTGTTCTCTGTGCTCATTCAAACCAGATAAAGGAAACATTACTTATGTTTAAATTCTGCCCAGCTTCACAAAAGTAAAATGGTAATATGCCATAAATGTCAGTAAAATTCATCTATGTTAGCATACCATAAACTGCTTATGGGAATATGCAGTTCTTTGCTATAGTTTGGATGTGCGCTCGATATCCACAGTGAAGCCATTCAAAGAACCAAGTGTGGCTAATATAGCAAAGTATTTTCCATCTGTATAAAAGCTGCGTGTTGTTCTTGCTTGAGGTAAATACCTCTGGAAGATCTAACTTATATTTGAAGTGCTCCCTGCAAAGTTTAGCCAATAAATGTGAAAACCTGTAAGTATATGTAATTAAAAAGGAAAAAAAGTTTCATTCTCCATTTTTGTAAGTCTTTTAAAATGTTTGTTAGTAGTTTTGTGTACAGTTTACTGAATCACCCAACCTGTGCCCTCATTCTCATATTTCACTTTAAGATAATGGATATTTTAGGCATGAACTGAGTAAATACTGTGTTGATAGTAGATGTGTATTAAAGTGTAGCCCATTTTTTTTTGTAAAAGAATTGTTCGGTGGATACAGCTAAACAGATGATCCATAGCTGTTTCTCATGGGACTTCTGTCAAGGAAACTCTCCAACTGATAAAATTTAATCTCTCAGTTTCATTCTGCTCTTGCAACATGTTTAAATGTTCAGTACTTTCTACTCAGCTTTCAGCTCAGGGGGGTGGGGGACTGGGGGAAG